GACAAACGCTGGCGTTACAATGAGATGGAACCTCGGGTTTGAAAGGAATATTTACAGTCAGCGGCACCAGTAGGGGTTTAGAATAACGAATGACCTGCTGTTACTTGAGTCACATTGCTTGAGTGGCTCCGAAAAATGGCGCGAGCACTGGCGTTTGGAGTGGGGCTGTGGGGGGCGAAACATCAAATCAAGGTAAAGTCAAGGTTGAGTTGCACTTTCATACCCGTCCCAATTTCACAGGCTTCACACATGTTGATCAAGTGCAGAGGTCCAATTTGTCTAATTTACCTTCTTGTCTCCGAAGATTTACGACTGACCGCCGGTGGCTCTTCGATCATGTGCCAACGCAGATAAAAACACACTACAAGTTAAATGAGAATTTTCTATTGAGGTACTTGGAGTAATGCAATTAAAGATGAGTTCTGCCGGACATTTTTATTGTTGTTGTTGATGTGCTGACAATTTCATTAGGGCCTTTTGTTGACTGGGCAGCAGTTTTATTCGTTGAAAATTTGCTCCTAAAGTGAAAAGATTGATTGAAAATGACATTGTTGTCATTTACCGGTATGTATGGAAGCGTGCGACTGCCATTGCGGAGTAAACATTTTAGTATTTGCTGGAATCTTTCAACATACTTGCACCTATGTTTAAAAGTATTTGTCGGCTAAATGTTAAAATCTTTACGTCCTCCCCTCCCCCTCCCATCTCTCCCTGCTGCAACGCACCTGATTCAAATGATCAAGGTCGTTATCTAGCTTCTGCAGACCTTACTCGTTATCTGATCACTTGAATCAGGTGTGTTGCAGCAGGGAGAGATGGAAAATTGACAGGACAGACGCCCTCGAGGAACAGGATCGAAGGTCTTCATTATACAGTATTCAATACATTTGAAAATGTAGTTAAGTACATGTAAATATTGTTGATTCATTTTTTTTTTTTATGATTTATTATTACATCAGCAGAGCCTGATTTCCATTTGGTCCACATTGCCATGTGGCATTATGGGAAATAAAAATGCCAAACGGAAATCATCCACGTCCCGACCTACTCTGGAACTGATTTGGGGATTCAACGTCATTAACGCTGCCATCACCGAATTTACTGTATGTGAGCAGCGAAAAGTTCTGAAATGCTCATACCCCGCATCATAGCTACATCAGCGATCACATGCCTTGCATGGTGAGGAATATTTTCAAAAACAATCCGTCATAAGTTCACGGCTGCATTTGTTGTCGCTTCGAACGTATATGAAATAAAGGCACGAAGAGCTGTATCACTCTTAGCGTCTTTGTTAACGACTGTCTACAAATTATGTAGAACGTGTGACACAAATCAACATGTATCAAATACAAATTCATTCCAACTGCCGTAGTAGTTGGCAGTGTTAGACCAGTACTTGCTGCAGCTCTAAGTATGATATCTGTTGTGGCGTCTTAGACAAGTGGCATCAATTTTCACAAAAATCAATGAAAACACCCTATCCAGCGCGGAAATAATTTGAAGTTCTTCATTGTTAAATATTGCTGCAGAATATTGTTGGACAATGTTTTGCAGAAGATGTATGAAGCAATTTAAAATATAAACAGGAGCTGTTGCTCAGAAACGCGGTCGATCTGTAATTGTTCCGTAGCCCAAAATCCTGTGCAATTTTGGTCCGAGTACGTCCCTGATCAACAGTCTCGGCTCGTTCATTTTGAACAGGTTGCACAAAGTAATTAGAACCATCACTTTAGTTTGACTTTTTTTTTTCTGTGGTCTTTTCCTTTTGTTTGAGCTGACTGTGAATGAAAGGATGATGATCCATATATTCCAGCTCTGAGCCTGAGCTCTATTTGGGTTCACTCAATTTATGAGACGCTTTCAATCCAACTCGCTCTCCCCGCACCTACCCAAACAACAAATCACGGTTGGGTTTTTTTTTCCTCCTTCCTAACTTCAATACTTTGGATAGTTAAAAAAAAACATTACTTTTATACTTTGTTTTATGAAAACAAAAGTGGAATTGACACGTCAACTTCTACTAGTCTTTTTTTGAATCCCAATATCGGTTCGTCTACTTGAGCAATGAACATGAATGACTTTTACACCTCTGCAAATATTTACCGAAGTGCAAATTATAATATTATTGACAGTGACGTATAATGACATAGTAAGGACTTATAATAATACACCCAATACGTACGGTCTGTGAAACTATAGAATTGTGTACAGTGTTATCACGTTAAATCCGCTTGGCCCTCTTCACTACACTGTGAAGGAAATAAGGATGATGCTAATATTTAGCAATACTGTCATCTTTTTTGCTGGTCTCTTTTTTTGAAATAATAGTTGCAAGATGAATTGGAAAATGCTCTTACTCGAGCAAAAACCACTTGGCGACGCCGCAGACACAAGTCGTGGCTCTTGCTCGCTACCTTACTTGTACCCAAGTCCACACGTGTGCACATAAAATAAAAGCACAACTTTCACAAGAAAACCACTTCATATTTTGTTTTATTTCTTCACGTTCACTGTGAGGACCAGTCAGAGACTATTGTGGGGTCGGATGTGTTGCCCGGGCCATACTTTGTCCATGTCTGCCCTAAAGTATAAACAGAAGTGTTTTTGCAAACACCGCCACGAAACACACAACTTGGATATTGATCCTCAAGTCCTTTTGGACAACCTCCCATCGTGCATGACCCCGACGCCTGCTACATATCCTGATACAGATTTGAACCTATTGGGTCCGGATGACCTCTTGATACGGAAGCATTACACATGTACATATAAAACGTGTATATATCTGACATTGGCAAGCACCCTGACAACATTCCGCGGATCTGTTGACAAAAGCTGCCAGAGGCCGGCACCCCTTCTCGACCTCCACATGCCTGTGTTGATCACAGCTATTCGCACCTTCTTTCGACGTTGCCCTCACTAAACTCTTTCACGAGCTGACTACTATCATGAGGGGAGGACGGCGGGGCTGCGTGCAAGCTCGGTGTGAGCTCACTCGCTTCCATGCCTCTGAGGTGTCCGTCTGGACGGAGCTGTGTGAGTATCAACACTCGGTGTTGAACAGCCGGGAAATGGGTGCTGACGCAGATACCTTCGGGGGGCTTTTTTCATTCTGTTAAATGAGTCATTGTGTAATCGGAGCAATGATTGGAAAAAATGTGGAAAAATCTCATCTTACTGACGTCCAAAACATGTGTACTCTTGATGAAACCTATTACATACTGAATGTAGCCCCCTCGTAGAGCACGACGGCGCACAGTGAGGCGCATGTTGCAGAGACAACGTGTCGACAAAAGTTTTGTGTTTTCACAGTCCGAAATGTTTAAGTTTTCTAATATATACAAATGGTTGGTAATGCACACAATCCCTGTTCCGATCCCAAATCAGCCAAAAAAGTGATGATTATAATCGTATTAATGGTTCAAATGAAAGTATGGTGCAACGTCATCTTCACACTGACATGTTGTCACACTTCAATAAACAGCACGTATATTGTTTTGACATCTTAACATTGTTCGCGAACATACAAATGCACCTGTGTGCATTTCATTTTATTTAAATGCTAAATGAAACCGTGTTTGTTTTGGGGTTTTTTGTTTTACACTTGCACAACTTGCACAACAAAAAAAACGTGTATAATATTGAGGGGGAAAACACAATCCATTTTTGGTTTACGGAGGTCTATAAGCTGTGTTTGACATTCTTGAAATACAATACAGTAAAGCCTTTCATTTGTCTTTGATTTTGACCAAAACATGTCTCTTAGGTTATTTGAAGAATACAAATGATCTTTGATGTTTACATAATAGTTGGCTCTTTGAAAACTATAAATTGTATTTGCCAAACGTGTCCGTTAGTTCAGTGATTCCCAAACAGTGCGCGTTGGCACTCTGGTGTGCTGTTCGGCGTGCCACGGGAAATGATCCGGGTTTAATTTGTCCAAAAATGGCTATTTATTAACTCGGAATACATTTTTCCTCCACTTATCTAGCTGTGCGATTAACATAGCGTGTAAGGCAGAACAGTTCAATGGTTTTCCATTTGTGAGTAGACTGATGTGAGCTTATCATTCATTTTGGTGGTGGTGCGAGATTTTTCCTCATTTGTTTCTTTCTTTATCCTTATAAAATGCATGCCTTGCCTCAATCAAGGTTGTGAAACTGTTTGATGAACCCAAATTTTCTCTGATGTTTACGAAGAAGTTCCTTGACGACTGCAATACTTTGGATGTTTCCAAAAATCGGT